ATCTGGACTCCGTCCATCCTACATGTGATGCTATCAGTTCGAGTCTATCTAAAAAATCAGCTAGGACAAATGCTATTTTCTCCCCCTGTTAATAATAATAGGAACTGACTCCAGTGGGTCCAAGCCAAAACTGAAGTACCCTTTACGCCCGGGGTGTTCTCTTCCAACATCTCTACTGATGGGTCAGGCTGTAGCTAGCCAGTGAACGGCGCGTTTTCTTCGATATAACCCTCTAATAGTTTTGAATCATTCAAAAAGCTTTCCAAATTGTCAAGCTAATTTAATCAGCTGCCAGTTTAAGTAAAACTTAAAAAAAAAAAAAAAAAAAAAAAAACCCTCCTCTCATTGACAACTCCGGTACTTTTACAGAAAACATAAGTATCGATCATTACATCTAAAAAACATACTGAGTATTTCGAAAGCCTCAAAATTTGAAATTCACAAACCTTCTTAAAACCTAATACTTTTGTACTAGTAAACAACCTAACATGCACAGTATGAAATCATCGAATCACACGTACTAAAACACTATCTTTTTAGTTAATATTATACCAAAACAGTTTACCTAACCTTAAATTTAATTCTTAAATTAAATTAGAGAATTAATATCCTGCAGTAACCAGTAAGCAAACATAATTCAAATCAAAACCTTAATTAGTCCTCACACATAAAATTTAACACCTTAAAACAGTAAGTTATACAAAATAAATTCAAAAATCAGTTACTGAGTCGATCCTTCACTAAGCAGAGGTCACGGCACCAATGTTAAATACCTACTGCACCAATGTTCTGTTTCTATATGCCGTAAAAATCATGGGCACCAATGCAGTGTTACTACTTCCTCTTAGGGAGGAAACTAATGCAGAAACAGACAGGTGAAACCGTAACTAGCTAAATATCAACTGCGAAACTAAACTCTTAAGAGTTGGCTAATTACCAAACTTATAGTGATCGTATAAATGAATTTTTGATGCATTGCGTTGTGAAAATGCATCCGGGACGCGCCGTGCGAGGATCGAATAAACAACATGTAAAATCAATATATATATAAGAAAAACACATAACAGATTCAAAGAACACATAAGTAATAGGTTTCCAGATTAAATATCAGTTTATTCAAATTCCTCACAAAAAAAATTAAATCTCCTCATCAGAGAGTCTAATTTCTTATTTGTGTTACCTTTTAATTTACTTATTTTAGACACAGGGGAATTCTTCAATTTTTCATTTACTTTTTGTTACATTTAAATTCATGATTTGCAAATCTATTACATGACTCTTTTAATTTAACGGGTACCCGATCTGTAATTTCTAAGAGGTTAAGGAATACATATTATTTGCAATTCACATCTGTTCTAAGGAAGATTACACAAACAACTTAAATTATTACATCCTAATTCATAAAAAAAAACTTTAAGGTTTGTTTTGGTAATTTAGAAGGGGAAAGGGAAACAATTGAAAGCCTGAGAATTAATTTAAGATTCGACATTGTTATTTTACATTCCAAGGAAGTCGTTGAAACCTTACTTAAAGTTCAAACACAAAAAAAATAGACTTATCTTGTAAGGACGTCTTGAAGTGGAGGACTCGTATCCTAATAAGCATTGACATCAGCGGGGCTCATTTTTACGGTCACAAATGGAAATTTCAGAAGACATCGTCCTGTCCTGGCACTATTGGCGAAACACACACGCAGGTAACTGGTTTTCATAACGACGAAGCTATTTTACTCTGGAAAACAGAAACAGGAGCACTGCTGCCCCGCATGGCTGTCCGCCTGGTCTTGAAAGTCTTAAGTCACTCGCCCGGTTCAATTTCGCCCTTTAACCAGACGCGGCAGGGAGAGCATGTTTGCAGCTCCCGGCCAGAAACGTCTCTCTAGGCAATTACGGCTCGCCTGTTCTTGCTCATCCCAAGAGCAAGCTTCAAGAGTAACGTCCAAAGTAAGTTCCGCAAGCAAGTGTTGGCAAGTCTCGCACGAGAAGTGATTCAAACTCGAGAACGCGGCAGGGGAGCATCTCTCTTCGTAAATTACATCGTTTAGAACACTCAATCCCAGAGCAAGTTTCAAGAGTAATGTCCAAAGTAAGTTCCGCAAGCAAGTCTTGCCAAGTCTCGCACGAAAAGTGTCACACGAAAAAGTGATTCAAACTCGAATTTTCTTCCTCTCCTTCACAAACGCGGGCTCCCACTATGAATTCAATTATCGCCCCCTTAATTTTGGCAAAATTTGCGTTTTCAACCCCTGAATGTGGAAATAAGAGTGATCGTGCATGCGCGCCCTTCTTCACTTAGCCAACAACCGGACCCTCAATCGCCAAAAACTTGAATGACTTACATCGAAAGTCGAGTGGCAACCTCTGACCCTTCTGTCACGTACTTCCTGTCCTAAGGTCAACTGCACAATGAAATTCCTTCTAGAACATTCTAAAGGACAAAGCGCACGAAATCATGACATAGCAAAATTACCTCCCTTTCCCTGCTTCTTTTCACAATGAATCAAAGCTTGTACAAAAATTGCAAATAAAAGAAAAAATAAATAATATTCTTTTAAACTAAATAATATTCCCAGAAGCATCTGTTTTTCCCCAAAATTAAAGCATTAAAATAAATAATTCAGAATCAAATCAAATTAAGATTTCCATAAATCAGAAAATCATTCACCTAGTTTTTTTAACGCTATCAGACAAATTCTGTACACAACAATATGCCTTTCAACTGATATATTAAGTGTCGCTACTGAAGCCATTTTCTTTTTAATGGAAATGAAATTTTTATAATTGACAGTATTTCTTTTGCTGTTTCTTGGTTAAAACCAAAAGTTAAGGACTTTTCACTTGATTCTTTCTTTAGACAATAAATATGATAATGTTGACTCTTTGCCAGAATTTTGTTCTTTACTAAACTGTAATACTAATCTTGTGGTATACACTGATATAAAGTGAACAGTAGAAGACTACTATAAGAATAGAAATTAATATATAATATTTCTCAGCTTCTAGTCAGAACCATTATTTCATAATATAATTTTATTAAACTGAATATATCACTCAAATGACATATAGGCTCCAAGGATAAGAGACCATTAATATGTGCCCTTATTTTCTCTCTTTCTAAATCAGTCGGTTAAAATTTGGAGGGCTTTTTGTATAGTTTTCTCCTGTTAATGATAATCCAGTTATAGCTAGTGAGTAGCAATCTTAAATACTGAAGGTTGGTGTTTTCATGAATGACAGCTTTATATAGAGTCCAAAATTTGCTAAATTTGTATAAATCACTCTTAAAGATTTCTAAAGTAATATAACGTTCGTGTTGTAGTTAGTTTCGATTTTGGAAACTTGCATCGTAGTTTCAGTTTTAACTATGTGCAGTGTATTTAGTATCTTTCGATTTACATCTAATGATACCTTCACTCATTTCTAAGGAATGTCCTGCTTTCAATTCTAATTCTTGCACAGTGCTTTGTGCATTAATAACTGTGATATTTTAATAAATTAGCTTCTATCTCAATTAACACTGCTAGTGATACCTGCAACAGTTATATATTTGGATTTTCATTTTGTAATTACTCTTCTCTTTTCTTAATTAATTGTGTGACAATAGTTTAAAACAAACATCTTATTTTTTCTGTTTCATTCATGCAGTGGAATAACATAATCATGCAGATTTTCATTAACACAATCTGAGAAAGTTACACCAAGCAATTCAAAATTCCTGTAAGGCATACTCTAAAGCAACTTATGTGCCCATTGTGATAAACTACAAATGATTGAGAAATTCTATTTATTTTAACATCTTTTGTAGAAAAATACATACTCATCCTTGATTGGATTACTCTTTTTTACATTGTCCAGAAATATATAGATCTAAGAGATTATTGAAAACTTTACAAGTGAAGTCAAAGATTATGGTAGATATTTGAGAGTCTTCTAAAGCTTTTATTTAAGCGCTAAATCTTAAATATCAGTTGTTTGAGCTGAAAAAATATTACGAATCAGTCAATATTAAATTATGTGAGGTTAGTGAAAAGTTATAAGCTTACTTTTATGTTAATACAGTCAAAAGTCGTTAATTCGGACACCCATAATCCGGAATGATCTATAATCCAGACCTCAAAGCTAAAAATTTTCTGTGCATGCGCCTCGTTGACACATGCGCATAGGCATTTATGCGTGCGCGTAAGACCTTTACCACTGCGCATTTGCGTGTGCGCAAGCGCAGAATACATTTTTGCGTGCACGTTTAATGTATAATGGACGGTATAAGCTAAAATTATCTAGTTCAGTTAATGTTGATGATTGCATTGTTCCTTAATCTTCAAATTGGATGCGGCTTATTTTTTGCAGACTGTAAGAGCAATGTTATAAAGGTAAACTTGAACTTTCGATTATGTCAAATAGAATTTCCGATGCTGGAGCTCTCAAAGGATCTACAAAACAAAAGTATGTTTCCATGTCCATCAAACAAAAAGTGGAATTGCTGCAAAAAATGGATAAAGATATGAAGGAAGGTGACAGAGAGGTTAGTGAAAACGAAAAAATTTCGATTGACAAGTTAGTCGGTATTCTCGGCACAGCAATTACGGGACTTGAACAGCGGAACTTTGTAACTGAACAAGAAATTATGTCTGTTTATAGAATTAAAGAGAAAGTATTATCACATAAAACGAAGCAACTTAAACAAACATTGAAAGAAATGTTTAATAAAGTAAACAAATAAATATTAAGCTTTTTTTTTAAAATTTTGATACCCTTTAGATCATAATTGTTCTTTATTTCATAAATTACGGTTTCATATTTTTAATTTTAGAATTTCTGCATGCCATCTTACGAGATTTAAACTGATGATCTATAATCCGGAAAATCGATAATCCGGAATCGCCGAAGTCCTGACGAGTCCGGATTAACGACTTTTGACTGTATTTCTCATTCTTAATGTAAGTTGATATTCATAAATTTTCTTTTTATTATTTCTCATAATTTTGGTGTAATTTTATGTAGAATAAAACCTGCATTCAAACTCTAGAGGGTCATGCTTTGAATATATCAGCTGTGACATTTCATCCTGAATTACCCATTATAATGACTGGCTCAGAAGATGGTGAGTCGAGTTTTTGTGTTAATAATATTTTGCTTGTTAAAATGTATTCAATGATGATATTTGCAATAATTATATCCAAAAAATTTTTAAATAAATTTTACCTTCATATATATTAATGTTATTTAGACATTTTTTTATGTGCATAAATTAGTTGACTAGCATGAAGAAAAATTTGATGAAGTTCAATTTATATAGGGACTGTTCGAATTTGGCATGCCAACACATATCGCCTTGAAAGTACACTAAATTACAGTTTGGAAAGAGTTTGGACTATTGCATGCTTGAAAGGATCAAACAGTGTAGCTTTTGGTTATGATGAAGGAAGTATTATAATCAAGGTCTGTACAAGTGTTTCCTTCTTTTTTACGTCATATTGATTTTTATACTTTATTACTGCTATATTCAGTTACATGTATATAATAATTATCATAATCAACATGATAGCTTGGTCGTGAAGAGCCTGCTATGTCAATGGATAGTTCTGGAAAAATTATTTGGGCTAAACATTCCGAATTACAACAAGCAAATCTTAAAGCTATGACAGATGCTGACATTAAAGATGGAGAAAGATTACCTCTGGTTGTTAAAGACATGGGAAGCTGTGAGATATACCCTCAAACTATATCTCATAATCCAAATGGGAGGTAATTATTAAAGCTAGCTGTTTATTCTTTTACAAATATTAACACGTTTTGAATGCCTTTTATTAATAAGAATTTTGAATTTTTTTCCAGGTTTGTTGTTGTTTGTGGAGATGGGGAATATATCATTTATACTGCCATGGCATTGAGAAATAAGAGCTTTGGCACTGCCCAAGAATTTGTATGGGCATTGGATTCATCTGAATATGCAGTTAAGGAAAATGCAACTTCTATTAAAATATTCAAGAACTTTAAGGAAAAAAAAGTTTTCAAACCAGAATATGGAGCAGAAGGTGGTTTTCAGATTTCTTTTGTGGTTAAAAAAAATTTATTTAGCATGGGGAAAATTGGATTAATCAGTTAAATGCAAATGTTTGCTCTTGTGGATGTGTGTAACTGATGTTATATTGTTGTGTAGAAATTTTTTTTTATATTTTTCATTCCATATGCTAATAGCACTTATAAAATCATAAAGATATTGTAGTGTTATGAATTTTTGTGTATTTTAATAGCTGTAAAAACTAATTGATATTTACAGCAGGAATGGGTTGCTTTTTGATTTTCCCTTTCAGCTTTACTGTATATTGTATCTGCTGATTTTTGTACATGAATTTAACTTTCTGACCACGGGTACAAAACTCATAAAAACAGAGAATTTTATCATAAATTGATGAAGAAATAGCTGTTGCCATGTTAATGTGCCACAACATTTAAGTGCTGATGGGATAAGAGCATTCCTTCTGTGTATTCAGGATAAATGGTGAACTGCTGTTCACAGATCCCACAGACAGGATTTATGAGAGCATTTTCATAATCTCTTTATTTAATTTACTGATAAATACCAATTTTCAATTTTTAAAATTGTATCAGGGGTGTTTGTTGTTGTTAACATAGCTGTTGCCAGTTATGTAACAAATTGTATCAGGGTGTTTGGCTCCGGGGAAACCCCGGAATTCCAGGGATTTTGAACTTCGATACCCGGAAATTCCGGGGATCGTCGTTCAAAAGGAAGTAGGAATAATAATGAATTATTTATTTTGATCTGGGTAATTTTGTTTGCTTTGAAAGCAGAAAAACGCAAGGTCAGTGTGTGTGGTGAAAACTTTTCCTTTCTTTCTCCAAAGGCAGTGATAATGCGTGAAAAGGGGGAAAAAACTTCTTTTTTGTTCTTTCCTTATTGCGAGTTATGACTCATTCCCCCGGTTCTCGGACATTCTCTTCTGGATTCTTTTCGGCAAGTAGGCGCGGCAGAAAAAAAAGGGAGAGACTTCGTTCGACCAGATGTGCGATCACGTGACTCTGGGTTCAAAGGTCTTATCTCTCCTGGCGTGGCGCCAATAAGTAGAGAAGGGGGATTTTTCGCCGTATTAGCTATTTGTCATTGATCGCTTCTCAACTTTTTTTTTCTCGCTGTGTAAAATTTTTCGTTTCGTTTATTGAAATGTTTTTTATTTATGTACGCAAGAGAATTTCACTATGAAATTTCTCGATATAAATAGTGATATTATACAATTAGAAGAAGGTGTCCGGAATGCATTTAGGTGGAATTGGATTGAACGGAGAGATGGTAATGGGGATACCATCGGCACATGGTGCAAGAAAATAAATGTTGCTGGACAAGCATATTGTGTTTTTTGTAACTCACTGCTGAAGTATGGTGGGGAAGGATTCAAGGCTTTCACAAATCATTCTAAAACTGTGACGCACATAAAATATTCAAAGTGCATTAGACATTCAATGACTTTAAGTAATTATGCTAATTCAAAAATACTGATGACTTACTGGAGACTGATGCTCGGCCATTGGATATAGTGACAAGAAAAGCACGCCAAGAGGTATTAATAACTTCGTTTTTATCGCCGAGAATTCTCTTTCTTTCAATGTAGCTCCCAATTTAATTGAACTCTGCAAACAGTTGAGCCGCGATCAGACGGCACTAAACTCGTTGGAAATGTCCAGGACTACTGCATGTTATAAGATGAAATATGGGCTCGCAAAAACTATTAAGGAAAATATCATTAAAACTTTAAAGGAGACTCCATTTTCTCTAAATTTGGATGAAAGTACTAGCAATGCTCAAGAAAGTATACTGGCAATATTGGTGCAGTTTTATGACAACAATCAAAATGAAGTTGTAGTTCATCATTTTGCATCTCTAAAGATGGAATCTTGCAATTCAGAAGCTGTTTTTAAAAGCAGTTGTTAATACTATTGAAGATAATAATATTCCATGGGCAAACTTAATTAGTGTATTAATGGACTCATGTAACACCATGCGTGGAAAAAAAAAGGGTGTTGAAACCAGACTACGATCAAACAAAGCACCCCACTTATTAGATATTGATGGTGACACATGTCACACAGCTAATAACTGTGCAAAAAAATTTGCTTCATGTTTTGATAGATACTTAGAAGATTTGTTTGATGACATCTGTTTTGATATGAAAAGCTGCAGTAAAAGAGAAAATTTTTTTTCAAAATCTGTGAATCCCTTGCCATTAAAAAAAACTTAAGCCCTTGAAGAGACCAGACCATAGGTGGGTGTACATTTTATGTGTTTTAGAAAGAATAAAAGATCTGTGGGATTCTCTTATTGCATTTTATTTTCACTACTTGGATAAAACTGATAAAGGGGATTATTTTTCTTATGTTGAAACTGTATACAATAAAAGAAATATTTCTGCAGCTCAGAAAAAAATTGTTGAAGGGGGTGTATTCTTGCTTGCATTCCTAACAACTCACAAAGGATGCTTTAGCTCGGAAAAAAAAAGAATACTAAATGGGTTATTTGTTATGCAAAACAAAACTTTATTGCATATGGCATTATATTCAGCAGTATTACCAGAGTTCAACACATATATTAAATTATTTGAAACAAAAAAAACCAATGCTTCATTTAATACATTCCAGTATTTATAAATTGATGGCAAAATTTTTCTCTTTTTTTATGAAGCCAGAAAATATAGAGTGCACATCTTATAATGATTTATTAAAGGTTGATGTCACAAATCCAGAATTCCATCTACCTAGCAAAGTAATATTTACTGGTGCAGAAGCTTCCAGTCTCCTGAAGAAATTATCAAAAAAATCATCCAATAGCAAAAGAATTCCAAATTTCTCTGATGAAAGCTTATACTAATACAGCACAGCATATGAAACAGAAATTACCCCTTAAAAATTCATATCTAATTAGTTTTACAGCATTAGATCCAGAGCTAAGAGGTAAAACCAGTACAATATTAGCTTTTGAAAAATTATCATCTTTTATGTCCCATATTTTTAGTGATAATGAAAAGTCAAAAGTAGAAGCTGAAATAAGGTTATACCAGAGTGATATTGATATCACCAAAGAAATGCTCTACACATCTGATGAAAGTGGAAATCAAGTCAAGTGTACAATTGATAAATATTGGTCTAAAGTTTTTAATTTAAAAGATGATTTCACAAATGATTATAAGTATCCTACATTGGCTAAATTGGTCAAAGCCTGCCTTAGCTGCTTCCATGGCCCATTAGTGGAAAGTGCATTCAACTTAATGGATACACTTGTCACTGACTATAGAACCTCTCTTAAGATTGATTCCCTAGATGCAGTGCAGTCTATTAAATATGATTTAATGGCTTCTAAAGATACCTCGTGAAAAATATGGCTCAAAAAATCCAATGACTGATCCAATTCACAAAGATCTCTTACTGAATATGAACAGAAGTTAGAAAACATATCAAGAGGACTTAAAAACATGTATTTCAGATTAGTCACCTATAAAAGCCTCTGAAAAAGTCTCTGAAAAACCTTCTACATTAGCAGAAAAGCAAACTGCTTCTACCTCTGCATGTGCAGTTCTCGAGGAAATTTCTTCAACTGTAAATGAGGAAAATAAAAGTCAACCTTCCTGCAATTATGAAGTTCACCACAAAAGAAAGACAAGCCCACAAACATCAGAAAATAAAAAAAAGCAGCAGAAATTAGATAATTTTTTTTAAAGAATTAATTCAGGTAATTTAAAATATTTACATAAAATGTAGTAGTTTATATGTTTGAAAATTTATGGTTATTAATTTTGCAAAAAAAGTAATTCATTGAACTTTTATAATTAGGTCATTCAATACTTCATAATTGTAATTTTTCATTTCTCTCCCCCCCTTCTCGAAACTCCAAAATGTCGGTAGTAAGTCCGTAAAAGTTTCAGGGGATTTTTTGGGGTCCCACAAACACCCCTGATTGTATTTAACCTTTTTATAATTTAATAAATATTAAAAACAAATTTCTTTCTTGAACATACAAATATGACTCAAAGAGCTTGTTAGATGTCTTTGATCTTTTGAAACTTATTTAAGTTTAAAAGTCTAATCTAAGTATGAAATTTTGGTGATGTGCTGCTGTAAAAATTCAGGTGTCAAAAAAAGATAGCTAGGAAATTCGGCAGTACTTGAGATATAGGAAAAGAAACATATTATGCAATGCAAAGGAGCTATAATATTCTGTATACTTGTTGCAGAGTAGCATTATAAATTGTTAAATGCTGTATTTTTTTTACTAATTGTTTCAAAACAGTACAGTATGTGATTGTCCCATGCTAAAGCATATATTCACAGCATCTTTCCATAAAAATCAAACTGTCATTTAGATTTGCAGGATTGTAGGACTGATGCTCATTCTTAAGTAAGACAGATATGAGCCTGAAATTCCAGGGAAGGGCTTTGCTATTTGCTTGTCAGCATCATAAGACTGCAACTGTAAAACAAATGTTGTGGAGGTAACTGACATAGCATTATCACATTCATTTATTCTGCTTTTATAGATGGAGAGCTTGTAAAAGTTGAGCAGTGTCCGATAAAATAGCAAACAACTCTAAGCCTAGCTATAGTTTTTAGTTGCTTATCCGTTAGGATTTATAGGCTTCATATTTTTTTGTAGCATCTTAAAAGATGTTCTTAAAGTAATGCAAATACTGGTACAATTTGGGATGTGGCCATACTTTAACAGCTAGACGAAATGAATGCATAAGGTTCAAGGGCATATATATGGCATGTACTTACTCCCATTTATAAGCTGACGCATGCTGAACATTGTAGGCCAATTTATCATCTACATATAGTAGGCTTCTTTATGTATGGGCTATATTTTGTTTTAACACTGCTGCTTAGAAAAAATGCAATACCATGAATAAATGTCTCAAATGAGATAAAACTTGGTATATGGATAGAGAAATGTATTCAGAAAAAATTGTTTTAATTTCAAACAATTATATATATCAAGTACTCTGAATATACAAGTTGGTCAATATGACCA